AGAAAAAAAAAAAAAAAAAAAAAAAAAAAAAAAAAAAAAAAAAAAGTAGGAGTTGCAATCCTGGTCTCTGATAAAATGGACTTTAAACCAACAAAGATCAAAAGAGACAAAGAAGGGCATTAAATAATCGTAAAAGGATCAATGCATCAAGAAGAACTAATGATCCTAAATATATACGCACCCAATACAGGAGCACCCAGGTATATAAAGCTAGTTCTTAACGACCTACAAAGAGACTTAGACTTAGACTCCCACACAATAATAGTGGGAGACTTTAACACTCCACTGTCAATATTAGAAAGATCAACAAGACAGAAAATTAACAAGGATATCCAGGACTTGAACTCAGATATGGATCAAGTAGACCTAATAGACATCTACAGAAATCTCCCCCCCACCCCAAATCCACAGAATGTACATTCTTCTCAGTACCGCATGGCACCTACTCTAAAATTGACCACATAATTGGAAGTAAATCACTCCTCAGCAAATGCAAAAGAATGGAAATCATAAACAGTCTGTGAGACCACAACACAATCAAATTAGAACTCAGAATTAAGAAACTAACTCAGAACCGCACAACTTCATGGAAACTGAACAACTGGCTCCTGAATGTTGACTGGATAAACAATGAAATGGAGGCAGAAATAAAGATGTTCTTCGAAAGCAACGAGAACAAAGACACAATGTACCGGAATCTCTGGGACTCATTTAAAGCAGTGTCTAGAGGGAAATTTATAGCAATAAATGCCCACATGAGAAGCAAGGAAAGATCTAAAATTGACACCCTACAGTCAAAATTGAAAGAGCTAAAGGAGCAAGATCAAAAAACCTCAAAAGCTAGCAGAAGACAAGAAATAACTAAGATCAGAGCAGACCTGAAGGAGATAGAGCCACAAAAAATCCTTCAAAAAATGAGCAAATCCAGGAGCTGGTTTTTTGAAAAGATCAACAAAATAGACCACTAGCCAGATTAATAAAAAAGAAAAGGAAGAAGAATCAAATAGATGCAATAAAATGATAAAGGTGATATCACCACTGACTCCACAGAAATACAAACTACAATCAGAGATTGCAAACAACTCTATGCACAAAAACCAGTAAACCTGGAAGAAATGGATACATTCCTGGATATTTGCACCCTCCCAAACCTAAACCAGGAAGAAGTGGAAACTTTGAACAGACCACTAACAAGGGCTGAAGTTGAGACAGCAATTAATAACCTACCAAAAAAAAGTCCAGGTCCAGACGGGTTCACAGCTGTCTGGACGTACAAATTCTACCAGACGTACAAAGAGGAGCTGGGACCATTCCTTCTGAAACTGTTCCAAACAATCCAAAAAGAGGGAATCCTTCCCAAATCATTTTATGACACCAACATCATCTGATACCAAAACCCGGCAGAGACTCAACAAAAAAAGAAAACTTTAGGCCAATATCCATGATGAACATAGATGCAAAAATCTTCAATAAAATACTGGCAAACCGATTGCAACAGCACATCAAAAAGGTTATCTATCACGATCAAGTAGGCTTCATTCCAGGGATGCAAGGCTGGTTCAACATACGCCAAGTCTATAAATGTAATCCATCACATAAACAGAACCAAAGACAAAAGCCACATGACTATCTCAATAGATGCAGAGAAGGCCTTTGACAAAATTCAACAGCCCTTTATGCTAAAAACTGTCAAAAAACTAGGTATCAAAGGAACATATCTCAAAACAATAAAAGCTACTTATGACAAACCTACAGCCAATATCATACTGAATGGGGAAAAACTGGAAGCATTCTCTTTGAAACCCAGCACCAGACAAGGATGCCCTCTCTCACCACTCCTATTCAATATAGTATTGGAAGTTCTAGCCAGAGCAATTAGGCAAGAAAAAAAGGGGGAGGGTATTCAATTAGGAAAAGAGGAAGTAAAATTGCCTCTATTTGCAGACAACATGATTGTGTATTTAGAAGACCCTATCATCTCAGCCCAAAATCTCCTAAAACTGATAAGCAACTTCAGCAAAGTCTCAGGATACAAAATCAATGTGCAAAAATCACAAGCATTCCTATACACCAATAGCAAACTTAAAGAGAGCCAAATTAAGACAGAACATTCACAATTGCTACAAAGAGAATAAAATACCTAGGAATACAACTAACGAAGGATGTAAAGGACCTCTTCAAGGAGAACTACAAACCACTGCTCAAGGAAATAAGAGAGGACACAACAGATAGAGAAACATTCCGTGCTCATGGTTAGGAAGAATCAATATCGTGAAAATGGCCATACTGCCCAAAGTAATTTATAAATTCAAGGCTATCCCCATCAAGCTACCAATGACCTTCTTCACAGAACTAGAAAAAAACCACCTTAAACTTCATATGGAACCAAAAGAGAGCCTGCATAGCCAAGACAATCCTAAGCAAAAAGAACAAAGCTGGAGGCATCACGCTACCTGATTTCAAACTATACTACAAGGCTACAGTAATCAAAACAGCATGGTACTGGTACCAAAACAGAGATATAGACCAGTGGAACAGAACAGATGCCCTGGAGGCAACACCACACATCTACAACCATCTGATCTTTGACAAACCTGACAAAAACAAGCAACAGGGAAAGGATTCTCTGTTTAATCAATGGTGTTGGGAAAACTGGCTAGCAGTGTGCAGAAAGCAAAAACTGGACCCCTTCCTGATACCTTACACTAAAATTAACTCCAGATGGATTAAAGACTTAAACATAAGGCCTAACACCATAAAAACCCTAGAAGAAAACCTAGGCAAAACCATTCAGGACATAGGCATAGGCAAGGACTTCATGACTAAAACACCAAAAGCAACAAAAGCCATAATAGAAAAATGGGACCTAATCAAACTCCAGAGCTTCTGTACAGCAAAAGAAACAATCATTAGAATGAACCAGCAACCAACAGAATGGGAAAAAATTTTTGCAATCTACCCATCTGACAAAGGGCTAATATCTGGAATCTACAAAGAACTAAAACAGATTTGCAAGAAAAAAACAAACCCTTCCAAAAGTAGGAGAACGATATGAACAGACACTTTGCTAAAAAAGACATATATGAGGCCAACAAACATATGAAAAAATGCTCATCATCACTGATTATTAGAGAAATGCAAATCAAAACCACATTGAGATACCACCTCATGCCAGTTAGAATGGCAATCATTACAAAATCTGGAGACAACAGATACTGGAGAGGATGTGGAGAAATAGGAACACTTTTACACTGTTGGTTGGAGTGTAAACTATTGTGGAAGTTCAACCATTGTGGAAGACAGTGTGGTGCTTCCTCAAGGACCTAGAAATAGAAATTCCATTTGACCCAGCCATCCCATTATTGAGCATATACCCAAAGGATTATAAATCATTCTATTATAAAGACACTAGCACACATATGTTCATAGTGGCACTATTTACAATAGCAAAGACCTGGAACCAACCCAAGTGCCCATCGACAATAGACTGGACAAGGAAAATGTGGCATATATATGGAATATGCATAGCATGGAATACTATGCAGCCATAAAAAATGATGAGTTTGTGCCCTTTATAGGGACACGGATGAATCTGGAAACCATCATTCTCAGCAAACTGACGCAAGAACAGAAAATCCACAAACTGCACACTCTCACTTGTAGGTGGGTGTTGAACAATGAGAACCCATGGACACAGGGAGGGGAGCATCACACACTGGGGTCTGTTGCAGGGGTGCCAAGGGAGGGACAGCAGGGGGGTGGAGAGGTTGGGGAGGGATAACATGAGGAGAAATGCCAGATGTAGGTGACAGGGGGATGGAGGCAGCAAACCACATTGCCACGTATATACCTATGCAACAATCCTCCATGATCTGCACATGTACCCCAGAACCTAAAGTACAATAAAATAAATAAATAAATGGTGGGGGGGGAAACAATAGAGACCAATAATACAAACCAGGACATGCTAGAATTCTTTTTCATTAGCTCTCACATCCTCTCTGATCATATTTATCTTCCCTTTTTTCTGATGCCACATTTTGGGAGATTTGCTTTGACTTTCTCTTCTAATCCTTTAATAGATTTTCTTCTGTCATTTTTAAAACATTTCTCTAGAACCTACACTATTTGAATGTTTTACTTTTATACCTTATTTTTATCTTAATAAACTTTTTGTTTTTCTGAGAATGTTACATATATGTGTGTGTGTATGTGTGTATACATATATGTATGTGTGTATTTGAGAAATTGCTTTGCTCATAAACATGATGGGATGATATTTTTCCAGGTTAAAAAGAAAAAAAAGGAAAAAAAAAGAACGTGCAAGTATCAAAAAGTGAAATCGGTCAGGTGCGGTGGCTCATGCCTATAATCCCTGCACTTTGGAAGGACAAGGCAGGCGGATTGCCTGAACTCATGAGTTCAAGACCAATCTGGGCAACCTGGCAAAACCTCTTTTCTACAAGAAATACAAAAAATTAGTTGGGCATGATGGTGCATACCTGTAGTCCCAGCTACTCAGGAGGCTGAGGTGGGAGGATGGCTTGAGACAAGGAGATGGAGGTTGCAGTGAGCAGAGATTGTGCCAATGCACTCCAGCCTGGGCGACAGAACCAGACCTTGTGGCAAAAAAAAAAAAAAGTGAAATTAAGAGTTAGTAAATAATTTTGTGCATCTTTTTTTTCCAGTAAGATCAAAATACATGTACACTTACAAGTCACAAAATATGAATTGTGTAATCTTGGTGATTCCATATGAGTTAAATGCTCTTATATTTGCATTTAAAACTGGCATGGCACAATATAAAGATGACCAGTAATTTTTGTGCTAAAATTTCAACAATTTTAATTTTCCTTTACCTGAGATGACACTAGATAGCTAATAAAAAACACTATGACAAGTTTAATGAGAGACTAAGGAAGAAAAGGAAAACTTTATATGACTTTTATTAGCACATTTTCCTGCTTTTACACTAAGTCCTATAAACGATGTAGCGTCTATGGTCACACAGACCAGCTCTGATTCGATGTGAGAGGAGACTCATGGGGCGTGAATGCCAGGAGGCTGGGATCATTGCAGGCTGTCTTGAGGCTTGGCTGACACAAACATCAATTGGTTCATTTATCACCTGTAAGTCAAGCATGGTGGTTCAAGCCTGTAATCCCAGCCCTTTGAGAGGTGAGGCAGGAGAATTGCTTGAGGACAAGAGTTCAAGACCAGCTTGGGCAACAATAGCAAGTCCTCATCTCTATAAAAAATTAAAAAGAAAAATTAGCAGGACATGGTGGCGAACCTGTAGTCCCAGCTACTTGGGAGGCTGAGGTGGGAAGATCGCTTGAGCCTAGGAGTTCAAGGTTCCAATGAGCTATAATTGCATCACTGCACTCCAGCCTCGGTGACACAGTAAGCCAGCTCCTGTCTCAAAATAGGAGCGAAAGAAAAGAAATGAAAGAAAAGAAAAAGGAAGGAGGAAGGGAGGAAGGGAAGAGGGAGGGAGAGTGCAAGGTAAGAAGGGAGGAAGGGAGGGAGAGAGGGAAAGAAAAGAAAGAAAAAGAAAGGAGGGAAGGAAGGAGGGAGGGAAGGGAAAGAAAAACAGGAGTATTGAAGTTGGGAGGGTCCACTCATAAGTTTTTGGAGGAAATATTGGTGAAAAGTTCAAACGCAAACACAAAGAAGGGAATGACAGACACCAGGGTCTCATTGAGGGAGGGTGAGGATTGTAAAACTACCTATCGGGTACTATGCTTATTATCTCAGTGATGAAATAATTTGTACTCCAAACCCCCATGACATGCAATTTCCCTACAGAGCAAGCCTGCATATGTACCCCTGAACCTAAAAGGTTTTTTTTTTTTCAAGTAAAGAAAGAAAAAATAGTAGTACCTCACAAGCTGCCAAGTACCAGAGAGTAGCTCTTTTCTCTCCAGACTGATGAGGGTTTCTGCATGTTTTTCTAGCTAGAGTAATCACCTTTGCACACCTGGCGTTAGTTATTCCTCTCAACAATACTATGAGGTAGGTATTAGGTTCCCCGTTTTACAGACAAGGAAGTGAAGCCTTTGAAAAGTTAAGTGGCAGAACCTGCATGTCAGCCCAAAGACTGACTAACCCTAACTCCCAGCCCAGCCCTCTTTCCACAGCTGCTTCTTAATTAGACAAACTAGGTGTTTGTCCCTACCTACAGGGGGAAAAATCA